ATAAAAGAACCTCAAGCTCAACATGGTGGCGGTGGGTCTCATATGAGTGACAACGTGTTATTACACTCTAGAAATGTTGCATTGTCTTGTCTATTGCGTTGAATTTATACGTGGGAAAAGAAACTCATGTCAGTAGGACATTAAAAATGGAAAATAGAATCAAATAATACAGTAGCAGGCGTGGTACAATCGAAAGTATATCCTGTAAATGTTGTACCTCCTAAAAGGTTACATGTTTCTTATGTCAGTGGTGTGGTCAGCTTGGAAGAAAAGGTTTGAAGGGTACATGTAAGTTTCTGTACAATTACTAAAACAAGATCGAAAAAAATCTATTTTGATAAATATTACGGGTGAGGAGAACAATAACGCCGCATTTTGAGCGACAACCGGAAATATATCAAGCGGCTTTAAATAGTTTTGTTATTCGAACGATACAAATGTAACTCGCGATTGCGATGTCACGGTGAACCTATTGACTCATTTATAAAAACACTTAAAACAATTAAAAGAATAATGAACACTCGCAAAACAAGCCGATATACAAGATAATCAAAACAAATATCTTCAACATAAGCAAATAGATTGAATCTATGTCTATAAAAATAAAGCTGACACATAAAAAGTGACAAAGAAACAGTCAAAGACAACACAGATTTTTACCATGTCTAGAGTGAATCACCGAATTAACCAGGTAGATTCTAGGGAATGGATAGCGTCAATATTTGTTTCTGAACCGACTAATGGAGCGTTGCAAAAAAAGATATAACTCCCAATTTAAGTAGTAAGATTAATGCTACCAATAGAATCATTACTTGGCCGCCTCACATTAAATTGTCGGTGGTTGGGACACTTGATGCCAATTTAAAATTTAAAAATCAAAGTTTTCATACTGAAATATGCATTACTGAAAGATTGACAAAACCCACACTTTTAAATTTAAATATTGTAGAGATTTTTTGTCAGGTTTCGCCTTTAAAGTTATATAACTCTGCCAAATAACAATTACTTGCAAGATTCCCTAATATTTTTAGTAGTGTGGGCAATTTTAAAACAAAATTACGAATTAAACTGATTGATAATGCAGACTCTTTTGTTCAATCCGTGCCCACAGTGGTTCCTATACCGCTTTTAAACCCCTTAGAAGACGAACCCTATAGATTGCGTTAATCCTATTGTTATGACTGTGTATTGACTACTTATATCAACTTAAATAAAGCAGTTTTGCGAGCTCAGTGTCCTATTGGACACTATTTGAAACTGTTTTTGAAAATTACATACTAATTCAGGGTTTCGGTCAGTTCAGGGATTGATTGATTGATTCATTCTCAAATTTGGCAACTTTCATAATTAAAAGATTTTTAAATAGTAAAGAAAATTTATTTTAAGTTGATAACACGCAGTCTTAATTCTCCTCAATCCAAGGGGCGCAGATGCCGCAGCAAAAGTAGCAAAAAAATTATTTAAAAAGCCTTTTTTATTTATTAGCCTATAGAACTACCTTCCTAGAATTTCACTAGCCGAGTTACTGTATGGTAGAAAAATTAGGTCCTTTCTTCCAACGTTGCCAGAAAAGTTAAATGATTAGTAGAGTGAAAAGATTATGAGATTTAAAAATAGGAGATTATGTCTGGGAAACAGATTTGAGGATTTATGCGGTAATCAGTACGTTGAATACTGAATTGATCGAAATAGCTAAATAATATCTAGAAGTATCTGTTGTTAAAAAATAACTGAACTTTGCAGATTTTATATAGAAACAGAAATTATTAAATATTTCTGGAGAACGTCAATTGCATACCTTTCCCCTTTCCGCCATCACTAGGTAAGGAGCAATTTGCGTATACGGTAGTCATAAAAAATAAATTATAATTTGCTCAGCCCTACATTCTTTTTGAATACGTTAGCCTTCAGTACCTGATTGCGGGCTCTTTCAGTTATCCTATAAGGAAATGAAAATAATGCGCTAAACGGCAAGCATTCCTCAAAAATTTTCATTAAATTTTTCATTTTCATTTAGTAACTGCTGGTGTATACAAAGACAGGTTTTATTCGTATTTTCATTACTGAAATCAATAATATATTTAATAAACTTAACGGCTGATTGATTGTGGTAATGGCGTGTACATATTTTAAAACTCCTTTATAAATCTGGAACTTTTGGCCAAATCATTTTATCTTATTTATTTATTTTAAGAGCGATTAGTTGAAATGAAATTTGTGCGGTAATTTTAAAGTATAATATTAAAAAGTTGTTTATTTCCATTGATAAAGATGCATTTATAGATTCAGGGGTTTCTGGTACTATCGTCAGGGGTTGGGAGCAATTGGATATTGTCGATAGATGGATCAGACAATGATGGTACTTTGACTTTTGACGCGAGGGCAGGCATCGCCACCTAATTTAATAATTTTAGAGTAGAGAGTAGAAAATATACCATTAGATAACGGACAATTAGACACTGACTGCAAGATACGTAAACACAACAGCAACATGCAAGCCAGTACTTAGGAATCAAAACTTTTCAACTATTCTCTAAATAAGTAGCGTGAAATTAAAAAACATTTAAAAATCCATTATCTTACTCTGGATGAAAACGTTTAATAATTTGTGAGGTGTATCTAATATACCGTGGTAGAGATGTCGTTGAAGATGTCCGTTTTGCTAGTCATTAATTGTATTTTTGCGGTGATGCCTCCATTCCCAGTATCAAGAAAAGTGAAGTTTTTGTTTGGTTGTTCTTGTGCCATTTACGCCACGGCATCAACTTTCACTGTTCTCGAGAAATACACATTTGGCAACGATAATAAGACAAAACGTGTATTTATCTACTTTGAAATTTCAGCTTGCATTTTAAATACTGCCATGTCAATTATATTTACAACTACCTCGAAGAAGATGACCGACGTTACGAATCGTGTTTTAACAAATAAAACTACCCGTGGATCCAAACGACACTCTATTGTTGTAACAATCTCCTTCGTGATTTGCTCTGTGATAGACATGTTGCGGAAGATTTACGTGGGTATATCTGTTTCCAATAAAGAGAGTAGTATTCCATTTTTGCAACATTTAAAGGAATTGCGATTCGACTATTGTATATTTTTTTGTACCTTGCTCATAAATAAAATAGTGGAATCAATGGTTGACTTTAATAGTAACTTGCAAGAGATAGGAGACACGCAATGGCGGATTAAGCAATTTCAAAAGAGATACGCTTACCACTGCGACCTCATTCGACGACTTAACCAGTATGCTGGGGCTATTATATTTATCAACGTTATTAGAATCATATTATACGCAATGGGAGGATCAATCTTTGCATCAAAAGTGGCGGGCATTCCAACGGGGAAGAACCTGTTTTCTATTTCGCCATTCGTAAGATTGGTATGTACCATTTTGCATAATCCAAAGCATCTCAATTAGGGAAATCTGGCCTGGTAGGCTGGTATGAGACCGTTTTGTAGCCTATATATCTATTTCTTTTCGGTTAGGTGAAAATAAGAAGTAGATGGAAGAACTGAATGGATAGGTTCTAAAACTGTCCCAAAACGCCTTCTGCCATATTACCTACCAGTTTATTTAAATTATTTTCCAGCTGGTATAAACGGTTTCTTATTGTAGCAGTTTTCGTGACTACAACAAACTTAAAACTCCAAATTTTTGGGGTCCACAGTTACTAAAGATTATTAGCCTTTTAGTTAATAGTATATTATGCATTAAGCAAACTATATTATTTATTACGAGAGGAGCGGAGCGAAGCGTGTGCTTAATAAGGAGAAATTTGACCAAACTTATTGCATACTGTACTTTTTGAACGACAGTTAGGTTTGGTTAGTTTTTGGGTACATTTTTGCAAAACAACACGAATACATTCACTGACATGCCCGAATTAACCAAAGTCATAATTCAAGCCGGTGGTTAATATTTCCGAAAACGTCCGATTGCTGTCAATCTTTTAAATGTCCAAAGTAGCTAGCAGCTATAGAAAATGAAACTGACTTTGTAAAAGAGTACCCTCGATCGGTGGGTGCATAATTGGATATTTTAGAGAAGGGAGCAAAAAAAAATGTTTTCAATTTCCTGCGAATGTAAATCACAAATTTAGAGGATAACAACGGAACAGAAATATTAGAAACTTAGAAGGCGAGAAATAGGAATTATTAAATTATTTTTTTCATATAATCAACGTTTTTGTTCAATTAGTAAACGCATCTGGGAAATAATTCAATAATTTCTGTTTAGTTTGTACAAAAACCTGGAAGACATTATTTCTTTTAAATGACCATAGCGGTGAAAATGGAAGGGCTGCAGAACAGGTCACCTGGGTGGACACTTCCATAAATCCTTTAAGATAAATCAACCGAAGAAAATGCGATAATTTGCTCAAAACAATAATAACTAAAAATTGACTAAACTGAAATGTATTGGTATAGGAAATAAACAGGTTTCGCAGCATTGCATATTGCGGTAACTTTTGGATACCTCGTAAGGGATACGTTATAAAATTGCATGTGTTGTTGTTTACCACACAAGGCTTACCAGCAGTCAAAAATGGGTAAAAGTCACAGTTTTGAAAATAATGTTGCATCTTTCAATATTTTTAATTTAATTAAAATATCTCTAACTAGCGTGAGATTTGAAAATATTTTAACCACAAACTCGAATAACTTTCGAATCGAAAGAAACAGAAACTTCAAAAGAGCAGCTACCGCGAAATGATATTGTGAAAAACCCTGTAAGTTATATAATAAACGATCAGAGAGGTGAGACGAGCAATTAAAACCTCGTTTGAAAACTTTTATAGCAAGCTAAACATATTCGATGTATTTGGTTCAGGCGAGCAATAGATCCCAGTCATTTATCACAATCGAACTAAATGAAAATGTCGCTTAGGAAGTTTTTTTCAAATATAGTTAGTGTTGTTTTTGGAACAATCCCGCAATACAATCCATCTACTTTTCCACAGTTTTTATTGCGCATCATAATAATGGGATATGCTACCGTGTCTATAATCAATTTATGGATTTTAATTACAAATGTCGTTTACGGTATAAATGTCGCGCATACAATTGGCCAAATGCAGTCGTGCCTGGGTAACCTTGCCATATCGGCAAATTTTCTCGAGTTAAACGCAGAAATTATCTACATTTTCGAAGAAGCGTCGCATATAGAAAAACACATCTTAAAAGGAACGCATAAACGTAAGCGTAATCTTAGAGCTATTATAACTATCCTCATTTTTGTCGTTAGTCTATTCTCTTTCCTTTTAAGCACTTATGTTAACTTTCATGTAGTTGCTTTACTAGGTGAAATCCAAAACATCAGATTTTGTTATGTCGCCACCAGATGTATTTTATTTATGGAAAAGTTAACGGATGCGTTTAATCAATTTAATCGCAACGTTAAATATTTTGGAAATTCGAATCTTTTGGATCGATTCCTCTGCAAATATAGTGTCTTGTCCGATATCGTGCGAAGGTTTACGGCTAGTTTCGGAATAATTTTACTCACGATAGTGTTAATAATCTCGACGGGTGTTACGGTAATTGCAATTGAATTAATCAAAGTTGAGTATCATCGAATGGACGAATTGAAAATGGTAGACTTCATTACAGCGTGGGTAAGTTATTACTCGAAATTTTTAGTTTCTTGTAATTAATCATTTGAATCATCCGGTCGTGTTCTTTATTAATGTATCATTTGTGATGTTATGGCAAAACGAAAACTCTTTCTGTATAAATATTTTGTTAATTGTCAGCCCTGTATCATGAATAACCCTTCTCATAACGAGTAACGTTGACAGTTGATGATTCGTACCTTATAAAATACTCATTAAAACTGTACTGGGTACAGGTAATATAGTTATATCATTTTTTGAAAATGCTGTTATGCAGCAACTTTGAACTCGTTTCTACACCATCCTTCAGTAGGTCCGTTTTTTGCATACAGCTGAGATAAGGTCCTGCCTATGCAAATAATACAGGAACTTTGGAAGGAACTATGAGCATGCGCGAGATTTAAAATCTCGTTTTCAACCAGTACTCTTGGGGCATGTAACAACATAGCCGCTGAGAGATCGTAAGTTTGGATGCGTCATTTTTACGGCAGTAATTTTTGAAAATATGTCTAGGTCGCGTTCTGGGAAAACGAGTTAAGTATATCTGTAGTAGGGTCACAAAATTATTTAAGAGCTATATGGTTTTGAATGAATTAAATATTTAATAAATTGTCCGTTCTTGACAATTAGAGCATATTGTCGGAAACCAACTTTCACACAGCTCGACGACCCTCATCAACAACTACTTCTGGCTAAAGAGACAGCGTTCAGAAGACTCGCAGCCGCTTTCTACATCCCTTTTTACAGCGGCAGGTTATAAGCTAAAGAATTCGGAGCTCCATTCAGTTCTTCCATAGCGGCTACTAGAATGCATATCTACATAGATACGAAAATTGGTATTCCCATCAGAATTAGTTAAGTTATATTGCCAATACAGAACGTTTTATTGGTCAACTAATGAGCACATTAAATTAAGCAGAATTATCTACTCTAGCTGGTACTTGTAATAATTATGAAAAACCCGTTGGTGTTGTTATTAAATCTCTATCGGTTCATTTTATTTACTAAGTTAGTAGGTCAATCGAGTCACGCGGTCAGACCCCACATTTGTTGCAAAAACACAACATTCATATCGCGTTTGTCATTGTTCATTTGTGACAAGGAACGAGACTAAATACAACTGAATGGGGCTGGATGAAACCTAAAAGCTCTAACTTTAATTCTTCAGCTCATGTCCTGTGGCTCTAAAAAAGGATGTGGAAAGTTTCGCAACTGTCTTGGACAGAGTTGTTTAAATGCTGTTAAGGTGAACGATTTTGCACAGACAATTAATTAGGAATAGGCCTGCATAGGAGACCACTTTAACGAAATACAGGCACAGATATAAAAAAAAATCACATGACCACTTATACTTGCTCATTAATATTTTATTTTTGGCCCAGCCTATAATCCTAGCAAAAACGGGGCTGGTCTGGACACTCGTCGGATCGATATTTGGGTTCGTAGTGGGAGTTCAGTCTCCAAATTTAAAAACTTTATAAAGTGTTTGCCGTTTTTAGGACAAATTTATCTAGATTAAGGGAGGTATTTAAATGGAAAGGTTTGCCATAGTTTTAATTTCAACCAGAGTTGTGTTTATTACAGCAATATATTCCAAAATTTAATAATAATAATTTTATTATACAATTATTTTTGCGATGTACCGTCCTGTTCATTAAATATCCGTACACTTAATTTGCCACGATGTAAGTAATTCTATTTCATTTAAAATGCCACAGAAATAATCGCAAAAGGCTGTTTCAAACTGCTGAAGTAATACCATAACTAATCGTAAAGATTTTTTATGGATATCTGCTTTCAAAAATGTGATGGTGAGAATCATTTCCAATTTAAAACGAATTTCCTTACTTCAGAGGCGATTGATGTGACACATCCAAAATCAAAACCAAATTTGATTCGTAAAATGTCAAGAGTCAATTAGAGGTATGAGCGTAACGAGTAACTGAAATTGGTCAACGTGTTTCATATTACACTTTTTCAACGACCATTAATTTTTGGATATGGTTTCCCAAAACAGCACGAATACTAACTGAAGCGTATTTTGACCATTGAAACATCAAATCTACAGAAGACATGATCGCTATCAAATCAGTGACTGGAATAACGAAAATATCTCGAATAAGTTGCAACTGTGGGTAGCGAAGCTGTTGTCTGTTGTCTGCAGTCCTACCTTGCCCTAAATATTTTTACGTTACTTATTTGTAAGAAAGTAGACATTGGAAAATGATCACCTATCTGATCGTATCAAACATGGTCATGACATTATTTGTTAGTTGAAAAAAAATTTTTTTTGGTGGCTAATTGTAATGTGGCCAAAATTTTAGTTGCAGATAGTGCTTTTGGCGAATGCTGGAGAACGCCTTTCCAACGAAGGAAAGAGAACGGTGGCAATTTGTTACGACCTCCTATTCCGAAAACCTAAACGAGTATTCATCGCGCTGCAACTCGACGACCCTCGTCAACAACTACTTCTTCTGGCTCAACAGGCAGCGTTCAGAAGACCCGAAATATCCGCAGCCGGTTTTTTTCCAATAAATCATTCGCTGCTGATTGTTGTCATTTCGACTGTGTGCTCGTATTTTATTGTCGCCATGCAGATTTTGTAACGAAATATAAGCGCGGGTAAACAAATATTGATATTTGCTAAATATGCAACAAACATTTTGTTTTTTAAATTTTAGTGGATGATTCTTTTTGGCGCTAATTGAAAATTATGCATATCGTCGGTGATACTAGTAAGAATGTTAAAAACCACAACCTGGGCGTAAGGGTAACGAGGTACGGTATTAGCGAAACGGACGATCCTAAAAATTGAAAAAATAATTAAGAAAATGTTTCTTGAATTGTAAAACTCGGTTTCTACAAAACTTTCTATTACTATTTACAAATCTCTCGGATTCCTCCTGCATCCCTTGCTGACGTTTCGCCAATCAACAGTATGAACGCCATTCAGAGCTCAACTGAAACTGGCTGGCATTCCCTCGTATGGCTGATTCCCATATCGGTGAAAGGTCTGAGTCGCGATTAAGCTTTTTTGGTTGCTTATAGATTCCTATAGATTCTCGGATTTTTCGTTGGTAGAAGAATTTTAGTTTTAACGAATAGAATTTGATGTCCGGTTTCGTGATTGTGTTCGGCAACTACTGATGAGTTTATTTGAAGTAGTCTTCAGGCTCTTTCATGTTCTTTGAACCTAGTTGATATTTTGCGTCGGATCGAAGTTATATTTCTTAAGAACTTTTGATATGTGGTTAGTGATGTTTTGAATGTAAGGAAGGACAACAGTGGCAAGTGTGGGGTTGCCTTCGGACGCATTGTATTTGGAAGGTTATGGTGAAGTGTATTTTGTGTTGAAGTGCTTAATATCCGACGAATTTTAGGCTGGTTGGTGATGTGACAATGCATTAAGATATGCGTGTCTGTGTGCGTAGGTCTGATTTTCTATTGATAACAATATCTAAGAATGGGAGATAATTATTAGTGTCTAATTCAATAGTAAAACGAATGTCAGGGTGTAAAGAGTTTAAATGATTATGAAAATCTCGGAGGGATTCTTGACTATGAGGCCCTATGACAAAAGTGTCATCAGCGTTTCCATAATTTTAGTTTTAGATGGAAGGTCTCGAGGGCTTTCTTCTCAAAGGCTTACAAAATATATTCCCGATTATCGGGGATAATGGAGAATCCATAGCTGTTGCCGACGTTGGTTTTTCCACTTGTGTTCATGACCACCGTAGTATTTATTTTAGCGATTTTAGAGCAATGCGTTCAAGCTTTGGGATATTGGATGTAGGGGTTTTGATTAAAAAAAAATCAGTTTTAAATCGAATTTCAAAAATGTCAGTGTATAGAGAAGAAATCTTTACAGTTTTAGTTTCTGCTTTTTCGCTTGATGTACTCTCCATAACGGCTTGTTAATTTTTCATGCCACTCCGTTAGCTCCGCCCCCCTCAAACAATATAACCAGATACAGACTAGAATGCAAACCGGTTTCAGTTAAGCTCTGAAGAAGCCAACAGGATCATTGGCTAAGGGAGAAGGAATGCAGAAGACATAGTATTATGGTAGCACGTGGAAGTTTCTAAAAAAAATCTATTTTTAAGCATAGTTTAAAGCTGAGACAAATTCAAATATTTTTTGTTGAATGCCGTTTGCTTGATTTCTACAAGAAAAGTGGCGGTGTTTTAATAAGCTTGGAGTCGTTAAAAGGTGCTTTTTCCTAGGCTACGAGTGATACGACTGGGATTGCTTATCTTGACACCAGGCGGTGTGTTCAGTCTTAATCATATTCTAGCAAATAAAATAAAATCTGGATTTTTTTAAAAAAATTATTAAGTTCTAATTATTCCGAATTTAACAAATAAAACACTAATTTATTATTTAGGATGTTCAAATGATATTCAAAATTAAAGTAAAATGTTATTATTTCTCCTTATTACTTTTTCTACACTAGCTTCGAAGGGCACCAAATATTTAATATTTTAAGTTATTTTTTAGTAATAATTAGGTTTAGTCAACTAACTAAAACTAATGATTTTTTTATTAATTATTGAATTATTAATTATTGAATTATTTATGTATTAAAATGTATTTCCCGGGCATTAGATTACAATGAGTTTAAGTAAGACATTTTGTAATGCACTACTAACATTTAACAAATAAAAAATAATTACAACGGTAGGCAATCAAGAGACTTTCACTTTGAAGATCAAAGAAAAACATGAAGATGAGTAGCGTTTGATCAGATAAAAACAGAAATTGTTTTCATGTCTATCTTAATAATTATATATGAATTATTTCTGTCAGAAAAGTTATATTATTAATTGTTTTAATGGTTTTCCACATTTTACTGCTTAAATAACGTGAATACTTAAATAAAATTTTAATGCTAAATATTTGAAAATTGCTAAGCATGTCTAAAAGTAGAAATGTCAGCTCCTGGGTAATTTGGTGCCCTTCAAAGGTATTGTAAAGAAAGTAATAAACACTTTAAGTAATATTTGGCTTAATAATTGCTTACTTTTCTTTTTTAAATTTTCAGGACCACCCGTTTCCCTAATGCATCGTTGCTCTTACTGGGATTGCCGGTATAAGTTGCCAATGCATTACATAATTTAACAATATAGGGGACCTATAAATAAATATATTTCGAAAATTGAACTGAGGTGGTTTTTATTTGATGAAAATCCATTTAACAAAATAAATAAGAACTAAAAGTTCAGATTTTCACGAAATTATATATTTTCATATGACAATTGTTTCGAAAACACCGTGTCTTTATCAAATGTATACATGAAACAATTGTCATTTGAAAATATATAATTTCGTGGAAATTTGAACTTTCAGTTCTTATTTATTTTGTTAAATATATTTCTGTTATTTTGGATGTTAAGAAATTAGCATTCTATGACAATTCCAGGTTGTGGCCTGTAGTTTGTACTGTCCAACCAAATATATGAATAGTTTAAATTTAAATAATTTAAATTTTATTATGTTGAGTGAAAAATATTTAGTAGACTTATAGCTAGTAATATAATACTGTGTCACAATCGTCAATAAATGCTTAGTGTTCCAGTTGAACGAAACAATTATCGCTATTAATTTCCTGATTACCATTATCCTTGAAATGCCACCAAAACTTCTTTCAGAAAAATAATAAATGTAAATATTCTCGTCAAAACAATCCCTCACTGGCTATAGTACGACTCTATTATGATTAGTTTTTAGGAAGAAACTGCACTTGTGTCCATATTAATGGTACTGACACTGACAGATTTTCTGCGTAACCGTTTGGCACTAATAGTAACCCGAATATGTCCAAATCAATAAAAAGGAAAAAGTTGGACGATGTTTTGTTTTCCTTATATTGCGAGAAAAACTCTGATGGTACTCGGCATCTGCGACTTCGGGGAAGAGAGTTATTTCAAAGAATCGGAAGACGTCTAAGTGAAGACGATATGCAGCAGCTCACAATTTTTTTAACCAAAAATCCGGAAGTAACCTCTTTGGATCTGTCATATAATAACTTTGGCAACTATGGAATTCAAATTCTGTCGCAAAATTACCTCAAGTATGTTTCGAGAATTTTTATTACATCCAGTATTCCAAATTTTCTTTCAGCACAGAAAACAACCTGAGTTACTTAAATTTGCTGCACTGTGACATTGGTGTAGAAGGAATGAAGTGGTTGTCCTCGGGAGCATTTTTGAGATTTAAGGGAATCAGATTGCTTGGGAATAAGCTGGGCGTTGAAGGTGCGCGTTATATCGGTCAACTTATAGAAAATTGTCCAACCTTAGAAGATTTGGATATTGGAGAAACCGATCAAACTCTTGAGAGTATCGAATCATTACTCATTATCATTGAGAAAAATCCACTGAAAACACTTAATATGTCCCGAATTATTCCAAATTCCTACTACGCCAGATGTAACAACTCGACGTTGGCTGACGACTTAGGGGTATTGCTAAAATTAAATCAAACTTTAGAAGAAATCGCAGTTCAGAAGTGTGAGTTTGACGGGCACGACTTAGAGCTTTTAGTGGCTGGCCTTCAAGTGCATCGCAACCTGTTGGTGCTCGATTTGGGGGCTAACAGAATAGGTGATCACGGTATAGAGGTTCTGATTACATGGTTAAAGACCAGACCTTTACTGAACGTGTTGCGGATTCCTTCTAACGCTGTTACAAACATTGGAGCGAGAGCTTTGAGTTTCTTTTTGCCATTTACTCGGATCAGATTGTTGGATTTACAAAATAACAAAATTGGAGATCAGGGCATATCAAATATGCTCGACAGCATTAAAAAGCCAACACCTCTTAGAATATTGTATATTTGGGGAAATTCTGTCGGAGACTACTCGCTTCAGAAAATTGAAAGGCTTTTAAATGCCGGTGTTTTGGATCAAGGCTTTATCGATATAAAAATATACTACGTGGATGGCCAACGAAAATGTGCGCACCATGCAACAGATCGTTACAAGACAAAACTTTATTCCACATTAAAATACGGGTTTTCTCCGGACCCAAAAATTAAAACCAATAAAGTACCAGAAGCTGCATCTCGAACACATGCCTTGATCGCGGCCAATTTCCTGGACAGATTTCCACCAGTGGAGTTCAGTCTCTCCGAAAAAGACAGCGTGTAAAGATTTTGTGCATATATTTATTTTATTTTATTATAGGCCAAATTAAATGGCGGAAAATTACACTCAAGACAAAGCAGTTACTTTCAAAAAGAATTTCGATATATGTCGTATTTATTTGATTTATCACACAAGGTTTCAGACAGACGAATTACTGCCCGATATCAAGTGCAATTCCGAAGGCAACAGTGAACTATAAACTTGTCCATTCTAGGGCTGGTAGAGCTTTACTATTATTGGCCAAATTATGGGTATTCCCACGTTAAGGTTAAAGCTGTTTGCGCTCTTTAGATATGAATATTTGGTCCTTTCTGGTGTTTTTGTTATCTTCAAGTTGTATATGTAGAAGACATCTGGTCTCCTCAATATACGACTGCATTCACGAGGCACTTGATAGATATCTCTCTTGATTCGCTGTTCGGGTCTGATTTTTGTCATGGCACTTCTGAAAGGCGCTTCTAACTTGAACGCTGTTTTGATGTGAAATTCTCGCGCTATTTGTCTGATTTTTGATTAGAGGAATCATGAGATTGTGTCATCGACAGATGGTCGTATTATCGACTACCGAGCAAGTCTGCTTTAATGTTGAATAAGGACAAGGTCATCTAAAAACTGAAGGTAAATTTGGTAAATCAACTTCATTTTTTAAATACTTTAAACATTTTGTTGTTACCCTTAAATTCTTAGAATTTACTCCCTCAGCAAAAAATGTGTAAATAATGGAAATATCCATGAATAGGTGTTCGAAAGATAGGAGACAAACTTTCTAAAAATTATTACGCAGTAATTTCGCTAACTGCTGTACCTGAAATTGAATTTGAGAAAAAGATAGAACAGAAGAAAAATCCTAACATCAGCAATACTATTTTTTTATAGGGTTGTTTGCCTCCGCTATTGGGTGCTTTTAGAGATTAGATCTTCTGACGTGAAAAACCGTTTCTTAACTGCTCTATCGAATTGCTCGATCCAAAGTCGTGGGTCAAATGGGATTAAAATCAATTTGCAATTTTTTTTTACTGACCCGTTTATTTTAATACCACATTCAGTCATCCGCAGAAGTGATATTATCTCCAAAATATACCCCGGGGAGGAATCTTAAAAACCACTTTTCCATTCTTTGTAGGCGTAAATGTATAAGTGGTTTAACTTGGAGGGCTGTACGTGAGACCTACCCTTTCCTTGTACCAGTGGCCCGCATATATTTACATATTTTACTGCAAAAGAATGCGATATGCGGACGATGTCTTTCCTTTTTTCCGTGAGCGCTTATAAAACGCGTTATTTGAGTGAAGTTTCTGCGGAAAAGTCGGCAGTTTTTATCTCGTCTATGAATTTTTATTTGATCGTTGAACCCCTAAAACAATTTGAAAAATGACGGTGGCTAAGCGGTGCTCGATCGTCTGCCGTAGAAATGCTATTCTAATATTTCCATGTCATATTTAAATTTTCATTGATCTGCGTACAGTGTGGCGTGAAATTACTACATGGTGACTAATTTACAGAGGTGGACTCTTAAATATATCAGAAAAACAAACTACCGTTGATTTTGGTTTTTCATTCCGAGCATATTTACCTTTAAGTACAGAAAACTAGCAATAATACCTTGTATTTTTGTGAATTTCATAATTTGTAGTTCACGCTCTTGTTACTGATTTACAAGATAAAACAATTTCATATAACAATTTTGTCGACTTATCTTAAACGGAGTGGTTCGAAACACTTTTCTAATATTGGTTTTTTATGGACTATTAAAATGCATAAAAAAGTACTAAAATGCGATATTTCATTTAATATGTGTTTGTATTGCATAGTTACGTTCCCTTCAGGTTATTCGCCTTTTGAATCCATTAGGCATTAAGTACTAATTATAAAATTTGAAATGAATGTACTAGCAAAGAAATTTTCTTAAAAGAGTTGTTAAATTTGGAAACTTCAGAATATTATGCTTCTACTTTTATCCTATTTAGTAGACCTTGTATCTACAATGGCTTACAAGTTGCTTATAGAGTCCCATTGAAAAAGTGATCCCCTTTATTTATTACGATTTTGAAAAATCATTTTATTGATGTTGCTCAGAACAAAAGATGCACAATTTAAAAATGTCACCCAGGTATAATTTTAATATTTTTAATTATATAAGAGTACCTAATTAAATAAAAAATCCACTTAAACACTTAATAATTCTTTCTGATTTTTTTGAGAATATTTAAACAGGCTAGACTATGATCTCTTCTATCTTTCAATCTACATATCAAAAATGATTTTTGAAATTGCTAAGTATATATTAGTAAGAATTTAGTAAAACGCCTAAATATTCTAGTTGAATTATAACTAAAATAAATCTTAATTTTTGATTTTAGAAAAATTTTACATTTCTTTATTTTTTTGCGGTCAATAGGTTACTATAGCTGAAATTAAATTAATATAGCTGAAAAATTTATTATTTCTCTTACTGTTTAATATTTAATATTTAAAAATATATACTTCCAAATAACAACTTTTGTTGTTCACAGTTTAAAGCATTAAGATTTGTTTTCACCAGTTTTTTATTAAATAAAATATTTATGCATTTAAAATGCAGCTGTTTTATTTGTGACAGATAGTTTGGTTATTACTATGGTATTTGTTATTAAATCTAGTTTCTAGTAATAAGTAAATTATTCGTAAATCAGAAATGAACCGTTTGACAGTCATTGGATCAAAATAATATCTTTTTTGCTTTTTTTTTGTCTGGAAAATATATGCAGTGCTTTCGAAATTAATTGTCCTCTATCTTGAGAACCATTCAAGATTTGGTATTATTGGACTAATTCTTTATGAAAAATTGAATGCCGTCACCTTCGAAGTCGTGGTGTGGTTTCAAAATAAATGCATTTTGCAGGTACCCTTTGCCTCGATAGCTTCTTGATGTTCAAAATTGCCATTAATATCATATTAACAACAATAATGTCATTTATTTGAAACTAAAATATCTTCAGAAGTAACAAAAGAATAGTGCAATAGTTTTCTGTTGCAAAAATGGAGAGAAAACAGTTTAACAAAATGCAAGTCGAACTCCGGTTAGGAGTTGGGCACCATGGAATTTCCATTTAATAGAAATTTAAATTTGAATTCATTTGAGCCGGGCGCTCAGCTTGTTGTGCAATTGTACCCGGGCCCTGTAAAGGATAATTCGTGAGTTAGGAGGGAGTGTAGAGGAGACCGACTGCCGAGGCATAGCGAATCAGCCTTCCAACACACACTTCCAGAATGTTGATACTATTTCCTGTGTCCACTCCCAGAATTTCCTTACGGAGTTCGCTGAGTGGTTTACAATCGAGCAGCAGAGGAGTTTCATCTGCTGTGATGCATCTTGGACATAATACATCTTGTATGATGCCAATGTTCTTAAGATGCTTTCTTGTTGACCGTTGACCAGTATCCAGTTATCAGCCCAATAGTCAGCCTCAGCTGATTCCTGTTGAACCCAATAAGGCTGGAAGCAAGAGTCCTGGACGGCCCTCGAAAGAGAGCTTTAGTGTGTCTCATACCTTTAGCTTCAAGCCACATATGCTAGATCTCTGGTCAAATAGACATTTATTGAAGCTATCGGGTACTGGGGTGTGACAAGCTCCACTTTTTGCTGACCTATCTGTCCTCTCGTTCACTAGACCCAGACGAGTGTGACGTGATTTGCCTTAGCAAGCCTATCAAGCATCTCAATTCAATCTCGGATCATCCTTGAGGTGATTTCGACTGACATGAGCGACCTGAGGGCTGCACGGCTGTCGCAACAGATATATGTGTGTTTGTTCCTGTAATTTAGGTCCACAATATGTCTGGCACAGGCCCAAATCGCATTAATTTCTGCTTGGAAGATGGTGGTCATGTGTCCCAGTTCATTTAATAGGAACGTATATTCTAATCAGAAATTGCAATATGAAACAAACAAGAAAAAACAATAACAAATATTTGTGTTTTTTTGACAAAGAAAAATAATATGTAGTAGTATCTCCAGTTGATTGTAAACGTAAAGCATTTCCTTCGCGTTTAGCCAAATTAACAAAAAAATTAATTAAATCTTCCATTCTTCGCAACAATTCCGGTTTCATCTTAAGCAAGGCGATCTTTATAATCCAAAAATCCGGTGAAGCATAAAATCCATTAAATAAGTCTGCATTTAAACGGAAAGGATTTTCCAACCTTCAAATGACTACTTCAGGCATCGCTTAGCGGATTCTCGGATGGAAAATCAGCTTAAAATAATTTCGACGTCTCGAAGTTTATTTTAAGTCCTTAAGGAACTTATTCTTACATAAACAAAGGTGAAGGGATGAAGGAGACGTCACGTAATTATTATCGTCAATAGGAAACAAAGTGATTCGTTTGTGCTGTAATTTATGTAAGCCCCGTCGAATTAATATGTCACTTTATTTTAAGTTGGCGAAACCATAAACAAATTGGTAGACATTTTGTGCCGGTGTGCTGTGATTGGGGATAAATTGTGAAATGATTTTATTATAATAAATGTGAATTAGATAATAACTTTTATCCGGATATACTAAGCTTATCAGCAAGGCTTCGACGTAATATCTTTAACCTATCACCTGTAGAACTTGGACATGACTAACAGAGAAAATTTTAAACAATGGTTTTTAGCACTTTACCTACATTGAACAATAAAGTATCTTTTTGTTTTAAAAAAATTCTCATTTTTTGGTTAGTTAATTTATTTAAAGGAAACTGGTGGTATTAGCTTGAAAATTTTCAAAAATACAAAACCTTCATATACAAAAATCCCACTGGAAATTTCTCATCACTTTAGATCGATGTAAGTTCTTGTTGGACATACTTATTATTCTTTCATAATGCTTAGATATACCTCACTATTGTGTTTTGCATAAAATAGTAAAAGAATCCGGGAAAACCACCAACACATTTTTTGTGACACATTGTGACTAAGCGTCGCGGGACCGTCTGTAACATATTACGTTAAGGAACAACTTTTTATCAATAAACTCAAGCCGGGATAATAGAAAACTGGGAAAAGTCTCCGGATTTAAGCATATATCCTACAAAA